TTCATGCTAAACTTTAGAATTAAAGGGCTATAACTTAAATTTTGATAATCTAAATGGTAACCAATTTTTAATCTAATAATTTTTTATGTGTGCATATTTAATGCGAATAGCCATCAAGTTGTGCAAATGGCAAAACAAATATATATTTTTTAACATTTCTGTTGAGAAATTGAAAAATAATCATTATAAAATGTACTGGTGGTAATAAAGTTTTTCATTTTTTTTTTTAGATGGTAGGCGTTAGTATATTATAGTTACGCATTAGATGGTACGCGTTAGTATATTATAGTTAATATATTTTTTAGATGGTACGCGTTAGTATATTATAGTTAATATATTTTTTAGATGGTACGCGTTAGTATATTATAGTTAATATATTTTTTATATGGTACGCGTTAGTATATTATAGTTACGCATTAGATGGTACGCGTTAGTATATTATAGTTAATATATTTTTTAGATGGTACGCGTTAGTATATCTGATTTAGTATATTATCTCCTTTGATAAAGGTGGAATTCCAGTGGAATGAAGTAACTTATAAGCAGGTTTAAAAAATGAACCTTGAAAGATTTTTTAAAATAGAAAAATCAAATATGAATTAAGAATAAATTGAAAATGGAAACTTTTAAAAAGGTATAATTAAAATTAAAATGTAATCAATAAACCAAGTACCTATCGTCATTGGCCGGAAATTGGTTGACTTTTCAAGGGAAACAAACCAACCCCCGATCAATTAACAGTAATTAATAAATGCGAAGGTGTTTCGTCTTTTACTCGAGTAAGAATTATTGTGCCAAACAGGTATTTAGTAAGATGAGTATAAGCTAAGTAAGTAGAATTTAAGTGAGATGAATTTAAGTAAAAGTATAGTATAAAGTTAATAGAGACATTATGTATTTTTTGGAAGCAGGAGAAGAGAAAAATGAGCAACACCTTCGCAGGGAATCGAACCACAGACCTCTGGAATACGCGCCCAGCGTGCAGACCACCACACCACGAAGGTATGCTGAGAGGGCGGGAGAAATACCTTATAAATTCATTATGAAAGTGGCTGTTCCGTCAAATTTAAAAATAAATTTCAAAAACCTGAGATATTAATTAAGAGAGAGTAGTAGTAGTATTTTCTTTCTTGAGTAAAATGTTCCCCGACACCTTCGCTTTTAATCATGTTAACTCATAGTAAATTTTGTAAACATAATGAACAGAATGCAATCTTCGCAAAAAAATATATATATATTAAAGATTAAACTTTAAACAGAAGAGTAGAGAAGTTGAAAAATTATATTTATAGAAGAATATGCTTATAAGTTACTTCATTCCACTAGAAGTCTAACTACCTTTATCAAAGGAGATAATATACTAAATAATCCATTAGTAAATAAATTATTTTATTACTTTGCAGCTTTTGCGCAAGTATTAGGCAATTTATTACGATTAATTAATATATTTACTTAATATACATGTGGGTTCTTGTGTATGGCAATCGCAATTCATGTTCAAACAAAACACATTTAATGAAACATTAATACATCTATAATATCGTTCATTTATTAATACAACATCTATAACATCTTATTATCTATTAACACAACATCTATAACATCGTATATCTATTAACACAACATGTATAACATCATAGATCTATTACCATAACATCTCGCATCTCCTCTCATAAAACAAAGTGGTAATTACATTGGTAAAAATATTACTGATGATGTGAGATTTCTAATTAATTGTGATGAAAATGAAGACAAAAAACCTACAAGCTCATTTCCAAAAAGTACTAAATAAAAGAAGGTATTTTAGCGCAGCGTAGTATACATCTATAATGAAGTACGGACAAGTGTCACAAGACGCTGGTGTGTTACTACAAAGTATTGGATGCTGCCTACACCAAACCTTGTTGGTTGTTTTCGAATTTTTATAGCAGTTGGAGTTCGAGTATTAAAGATTGGAAAAATTCAAGATTACTAATTAACTGTTATGGAAATGAAGAAAAAACTACGGGCTCATTTCCAAATACTAAAAAGAGAAATAGGCATTTTAGTGCAGCCTAGTATACATCCACCATGAAATACGAACAAGTTCCACAACACTGGTTGTGTTACTCTAAATTATTGGATTCTGCGTAACTCCAAACCTCGTTGGTTTTTTTCTAACTTTCATAGCAGCTGGCGCTCGAGTATCAGAGATTAGAAAAATTTAATAGTAAGAATTAATACCCAGAATTCTTTCAAATCGTAGGTGGAAGCAAGCACAGTGTACATGGGGGAAAAAATTGACTTTTAATTAAAACCTCGGAGGACTAATTCAGTATGAGGTAAATTTTTGGAAAATGGTTTTTGAACGGTTATTTAACATTACACTTACGCTGACAAAAATGTGTTAGCTTTTCGTGGGCACAGAGAAGATATAAATACTAGTTATAATGGCAATTTTTTATCGCAGAAAGTGTGCGATATTTGAACTCTACCATACAAAATTAATTAATTCAATGTAATAATTTAGAATCTCTTTTTTATTCTTTATTATTAGAGAGTATTCAAGACATATCATTACTACTAAGCCACTACTAAGGCTATAAGGTATTTTCTCCCTCCTTTCTGCATGACTTCGTGGAGTAACGGTTAGCACACTCTGCGCGTAATCGTCAGTTCGAGTCCCGGCGATGGCATTGCTCATTTTTCACATCTCCTGCTTCAAAAATCCAAATGACTCTACAATGGCGCCCGAACTAAGAAGGTGGTAGATGATGATTCTTCACCACCAGGATTTGGCGAATGGGTCCTAATCCTCAGTCTTCCTTTAAAAGGGGGCGTATATAAAGTATTTTCTCCCTCCTTTTTGCATGCCTTTGTGGTGTAAAGGTTAGCACACTCGGCGCGTATTCGAGAGGTCCAGGTTCGAGTCCCATCGAGGGCACTGCACAGTTTTCAAATATTCTGCTTCAAAATGGCCTAATGTCTCTGCAAGACCACTACTAAGGTCGGAAGCAGTGGTCTCTTTATTACGGAGGCACCTAAAAAGTGAGCCACCGTTGCCTCCTGTAGAGAGATGGACAAATTGCATCCACTCTTTCTCCGGGATTCGAACCCGGGCCCTTCGGTACGGCAGTCAGAATCACTAACCACTTTTCAGTTTGGGCGACTGAGATGATAATTCAAAACCCATAAATTTTATAATTAAAGAAACATTTCTCGGATTTTATGTTGTAAAAGATCATTCTTCTGAAAGATTGAAAGAACTCATTCACAATTTCTTGAATAATAAATAAATTTTAGTTAAAATGTGTTGTGGACTAGGATATGAAAGAGCTTATGTTGTAGATGGTGTCTATAATGCCCTCCAGAAAAAGATAAAATTTATTTAGCCGAGGTCGATTTAGTTTTTTGGAACCTCCTTATGTAATTTATGCTAAGGAAACTGAATTAATACAAAAATATAACAATTTGGTAGATATTTATTCTGAAATACTATCGCCAGAATTTAATTTATAATTTATACACAAACTACAGTCGTGTAAAGATGACCTTAATGAAAATATGAGCATTCAAGAATTTAGAAACTAAAATCTTTAAAAAAAAAAAAAAAAAAAATATTCACTGAAAAGCGAATAGTTTTCTTACTTTTTGTAATGATTCCTGTAGCTGTTGCTGTTGTAGAAAAATAGTTTTCAAAGCTACAAATCATTAAAGATTACGAAAGAAATAAAACGGGACAAACACGATTAAAGTATCTCTCGCTTCTTTTTCACCGAGCATAAAGAGGCAAGAAAAATGGACCTGAAAGATATAATAGATTCTTTTGTCTCAACAAAAGCACGCAAATGATCTCTCTGATTACGTATTGCATAAATCCATTAATTATAGAGAATGTTAATTAGTATTTTCCCCCTTCTTTTTAGTTAGCTATATTTATTAAGATTCTTTCCGTATAGTTTTGATGTTAATAAATTTTGTTTATTACTAAAATAATCTTGAGTTGCCTAAAAACTACATAAAACTCAATTATTTGACTAAACTGAATTTTCAGTTTATAATTATCTATACCAATAGGATTTTTAGTATATAATGTTGTATGATAGATTTATATTCTGTATTTTAAGTGTTACTTAAGGGCCCAAAATTTCTAGTAACGCCACTGATCACAGACGATATTCTGCTTCTAAGCAATTAATATTAGTAGTCAAACTTAGAAAACATATATTCGTATGACAGGATTGTAGAGTATTCATTTATTTTTATTAACCAATTATTTTATGTTAATTAGCTTTTCTGTCTTTCTGGCTTTCCATTTCCTACCAGAATGCTAATTTACAGTTCGCGCGTATTCAAATGAGGAAGAAAAAAAATATATAATATTTGAAGGAAGGTTTTAGTTTATAGAATCAGAGAGTGTTCCACCTGCTGAAGGCTAAGTTACTAACTAGTTGATTCTGTTGAGAGCAGTTAGTTATCTGTGGCGTTGCGTTATTCTCGGCATTAGGCTTATCACGCCGATGTCAGGCCTGAGCCAACTTGCGCATTTTCTGTCTGTGTACCCATTGGTTTAACTACTATTTTCTTAGTTAAGTTCAATTCGTTATTTTTTATTTACACCATAAATGTTGACTGGTTCTATAAACTCAAGTTTGCTCTCTGTTAAATTATCTGAGTTAAAGTCTCTTGTAATTTCCAAGACAAAAAGGAAGTCGTTTTCAGAGTTTTCTCTTAGTTTACGTTACCAAAGAAAGTGAAACTCTATAATATGTCTCAGGGAAAGACGATTTTTTATGACAAATCTAAAAAAGGTATGTTCCTAATGATACGGAAAAAAGCCTTCTGCTGTTTTTAAAAATCTAGAAAACCTTAATTTATATAGCAGTGAAAGACTGTTTTGTTTTTGAGCTTCTTATACTAAATTTAGAAAACGTCTTATTTGAATTTTGAGAAAGTAGTAGTTAATTATTCAGTCTTCTATGCCTAGGCTATATAATTAATTTCTGTCTTTTTCTTTGCAGATTCCTGACGGAGGGACGAAGAGGCTGCTCCTGAAATGTCCGACGCTACCACAAGTGATCAGCCAATCACATTTCCTCGAACATTACTACCGTCCGCAACGACAATGAGGATTTTTTTGAAGTGACTTCACCTCCTCCCCATCCCCAACGGAGGAGCACGAGCTCTCTCTCTTCGACTAGATTTGAATTCGAGTCAATTCCTGAACAGCTCAGTGCACTAAGCACTTCCTCGAGTTCAGTTAGTTGTGCGACAAGTGTTGGTTTAGCTACAAGAAAACAAAAGGCTTTCAGCAGCTAAATAGCTTCAAAATGGAATGGGCGCAAAAATCATTGAAACATTAAAAATGTTTTCAAAATTATATTTGATACTGCGCCGCTTTTGCTTAAATGGATGATAATTAGTAGGAAAAATAAAAAATCAGAACCATTTTTTTTATAGTTTTTTTCAGTCAATACTGAGAACTCATTGATAGTTTCGCTACTCTGGCATTGATATCGCGACGCCATTGACATAACAGCCGAGTTAAAAATAATCCACCAACTCATGTTTTCTATCTTTCTTTCACGAAGTTATTTCCAAAAGTCCCAACCTCCCTTTGTTCTCATATTTTAGAATGTTATCGTTGATTTCAATTGACGAATAAAAGAGTTTTCGACTAAAAGTTTTCTTTCTTCTAAAAAATTGAATTCTTTTCTTCGAATAAAAGCAAAATTCTTAAATTTTCAATACATTTTTAAACAAATACTTTACCTTAATTTCAGTTTTATTATTTTAAAGGAATATAAGTATTAAAATAAGTTTAAATATAAAACAAATTTTCTAGTTAATTGGCAAACCTGTAAATGTAACCAAGTAATTCCTCACCAATTTTTTTAATCTTTTAAATTAAAGTCTATGGCAACAAACTGAAATAATTTTTCATTGAATTGATATTATTCCTTTCTAAACTGATTTGGAAACTGAGATTTTTCCGAATAAGAAAACAATCAAAGAATTTTTATAGAAAGTCTTCCTTAACCCAAATCCACAGCAATGAATAAATTTTTATATATATTCCTATTTTAATATCAAAACTTAACTTCAAAGAAATTTTTTACTTTATGCGTCCATTCCATTATGCCGTAGACAGACCGGATGGAACCGGTTCTGTAACTGATAACAAGCATGCTTTAATTCGGTACACGCACAAATTTCTAAAAATTTTGTAATTAACTACTTATTTTATCAAAAATAAGTAAACACGGGATAGAATAATAAAGCTCTACAGTGTTTAAGTGTTATAACCTAAAAATATCTTTTAATTATAGATAATTCTATTCTTTAAAATTAGGATCCTAAAATATATTTTCATTATTATGAGATTTATAACTGCAGTTTCTAGTCTAAGTTTGATACTGCGCTGATGTCAAAGTGGAAACACAGGATCAGTATTCAGCCATTCATCCGATGACAGACGCTAATAATGAAATATTTCTATGAAATATCAAAACACCTTTTGCTGCATTTTGCAAAAAAATGGCAATGAATCTTCAAAATGATTATCACTGCATTATAATGAATGAGAAGGAAATAATAGTCCACTGTATTTTAAATAAATTATACCTTTTGCTTGGCAGTAATCGCTTACTTCAGCCTTTATTTCATATTGTAGAAAGTAATCAAAAATAATTTTCAAAATGCGTTTTCTTTCTTGATGGATAAAAAAAATCATATTATCAAAATGTTAGTCGTCACGGTTACTACACATACTAACAACCATCTTTCTGCTGGATACGTTTCGAGCTTTACAACAAAATTAACTTAAAGCAGCTTGTAACTTCAACAAGAAGTAAGCATGGGGCAGACTGAGGAAATATGTTTTGTTTGCAAGGAATAGAGAAGAGAGAGAGCCCTGTAAATAAATTACCATCGTGTGTTCATTCTGTAGGGGAAGGAACCGAGAATGTGATCCGTGTCTAAGTCAAATGGAACTTGTAAAAAAAATTAAAAGAAAAGATTACTAAAGAAAGAAAGAAGCGCCTCGGCCCGTTTGTGTTGCCCTTGCCAGAGACGTTTTCGGGATACGCAGGCCCAAACTCCGTCCAGAACTCACCTACAGAAGTGTATAGTGGCGCCATCTGTGGAGGAGAGGGGTCTCGACAGGGTATTGCCAAAGTTCGTTACTGCATGGACAGTGAAATATATTCCTAACTGACACTTTTTTCCGTCCAGCTTTACTTCATCGACGGACTTGATATTTGAGCTGCAAATATGGGCAGACTGTGTTTGCATTCTATGGCTGCAATTTGTGTTAAAAGCTTTCCACACCTAGTTCACCCCCCGTACAGGGACGAAGCTGTCGATTTTTATTTCCAGCCATCAGAGAAATGGACATGGCGATTGCCTGGAATTGAATTCCCACCACCTAATCAGTTTCAAGAAAGAAGGGGGACAATAAATGAAGGCTGTGATACCTTCAATCTCATGTCACTCTGCGAGCTGCTCCCCCTCCACGAGGGTTTGTAATGCCACTGCAGCTGCTTCTGTATACATTCCAGCCTCATTTTTTTTTTTTTTTTTTTTTTTTTTTTTTTTTTTTTTTTTTTTTTATGTTATGATAGTTTGAAGATTTTAATATAATTTATCCTTAAAATAATTTTCCATACTTTTTGCAATGGATCCTATTAAAGCACTTAATCGAATGAAAATGGTATACTTATTTATTGCTTTTCACACAATTTTCTTGATTCCTTCATCTAAACTGTAACATAAAATATTTTAATTCTCGATCTGAGATTGATAAACAAACTTCTGTTAAAATGTTGCCCCTTATACCTATCTGTAAGTACAACTGATCACCAACAAAATTTGCATGTTTTATTTAAATTAGTCTTGGATTATCAAAATATATTAAAATTAATTTTTATCTGTAATCAGATTCTCCATACACTCACTCTTTTTAATATAACATAAGTATTACTGATTGCAAAATACAACGTGGTGATTTGGAAGATTGTGATGATTTTTCTTTCTCTTGGAGGAAAACCCGAGTTCCGCTACGTAGACGATACTTTTACCCTGTTTGAAGGTAATAAAGATGATTTAAATAAAGTTCTTTCAACAATGAATTCTATTGATCCTGCTACTCAGTTCACTTTTGAACTTGAGACTTGCAATTCTCTTCTGTTTCTCGACATTCTGGTCACACGTAACACATCCAACTTCAGTACTACGCTTTTACCGTAAACCTTCATCGGTTTGCCTTCCACCACACTTTAAATCATGTCATCCGACTAAACAAAAGTTAGCTTCATTTTATTCCTGTGTTTTCCGTGCTCTTCAAGTTTGCTCCTCCAAACTATCCGTTGATGAAGAACTAAATTATTTAAAAGCAATAGCTATTGACAGGGGCATTTCACCCAACAATATTAATCAAGCAGTTAAAAAATTCTCGACTCAACACACTAAAAGGCACACTCTTGTTTTAGGAGATTATAAAAATTCTGTTGTCATTCCCTTCTTTCCATCAACTAGCTATAAAGTTGCACATATTTTGCAGAAATTTAACATTCGGGTCGTTTATTCTCCCATCAATAAAATTCCGAGTTCCATACTCAAGGACCCCATTCCGGATATGAATTTCTGGGATATTTATAGGATTCCTTGCCAGTGTGGTTTAAGTTACATTGGACAAACTAAGAGAGCCTTAAAATTTCGCGTCAAGGAATATGATTCACATGTTAGAAAAAAGGAAACACAGAAGTCTTCTGATGCTCAACATTGTTGGTCACTTTCAATTTTTCTGCTGCCAAAATTATTCAGAAAACATCTTCCATTGGAGAACTGGATTTTCTAGAGGAATTTCACATTCAAAAAATATTTCTGTTCTAGTTAACGATCCTAATTCCAATCCACATTTGCCTTCGGCTTTTAAAGAAATTATGTTTTAGTTCTGGTTTCATCAACAGATAGCGCCATTTGCTTATTCTTGTCCAGGATTTCTTATCATATCTAATCATTATATCCTATCTCGTTCATTTGCGGTTTTGAAGCTGAGGATGGTTGTTCGGTAAAACCATCGAAACTAGTCCTGTGAAAAATTTTGAAAATATAACGCTGATTTTTGTTGTTTGACTTCTGAATTAATATATTAGTTGTTAAAATACATTGTTATGTAAAATATTTAATCGTTAAGAAAAGTAATAAACCGAGCAAATTTACTTTTTTTGTGTTTGTGTGGGGGGGTTATTTTAAAATTATATTGATGTATTTTCTTAATTCTATAAATTAACCCATTTTAATTCATATATTAAAAGTTTCTTTAAAATTAGAATTGGACAAAGTTCGCCTTTTATCCATGGCATTAATAATATCCATTTTTACGATTTTTTTATTCAGTTATAAGGCTCAATAAAATTTCACAGAACGCTGCATAAACAAAGTTGCGAAGCCGGAGCTTGGATGTTATAAACGGGTACCGACATATCAATATAGGTATTTTTCACTTGAGGCTCCCAACCTGGAATTATTTAAACGCGATTATATGAAAAAGCTCCTATACTGTAGGCGGTTGAATCCCTGTATCTTGTATACAAACAAGTATCCAAGTATCTGGGTGTCATAATATATTCTTCATGGAAATATAAAAAAGGACCTTATAAGAATTTTTCTAAGCACATACCGACCAAATATTATAAACAGGAGACCAGACATATTGGAAGTTTTTCTCTCTAACGTTAATATCCCAATATTATCGGAAGCGTTGACAGATCTCTTCTCAGCTCATGTTCCAGTGATCGCAAGACTCGGTGTGAACAAGCGAAAGGATTCTATTTCCCCACACACGGTGGCCTGTTACTTAGAAATATTACAATTACCTTGTCTTTCGATATTGGGAACCTTCACTCAGAAAATGTTGCTCAAAATTTCATCACCAAAATTCAGCAGTTTCTCTACCTAGCTTCTATTCTCAAATAAGAGTTCCTGTGCGCACGGATAGCTCTCTCTGCATATCAGGAATTTCATTACCCAACGAAATAGACTGCGTGCCTCTTTCAATCGTATCTTCACGTTCATTTGCTTCGACAATTTTATTCAGGAAATCAATAAGCCCATTATGAAATTATCTGATGTTACTGGGAAGTACTCCTTAGGCAATAGAACCCGTATGTAAACACAACTGTATCCAAGTAATCTTTCTAAGCAACCCATTCGAAGGATTACCTTCACTATGAAGGTTAATTTGTATGACATTCATACCTCGCGGTTACCCCATGTTCGTTCTGCTTCTTTGCAATAATATCTGCAACTTCCCTTTGGAGAAATATAACCTACATGGGTCTGGTATTAAAATCAAACGCTGTAATCAGTATGATCTTAAAAACGCCCTGGAAATGCATGAGGGATCCAGTAAAAACACGCACTGGAAAGTGAGGTTCTTCGAGTATGAACTCAGTAACATGCAACACTGGAATAACTTCTGTAGAAATTATGGACTAAATGTTATGAAATTTTCGTGGAAATGAAGTATTCAATAAACAAGCAGGAATTTCCAGGATGAAAAGCCCCAACTGCTGATGAAAAAATTGCACCGCAAATGAGAAAAATCCCATACCCAGTGTTAGTGGGATAAACAGAAGAAAGTTTCCAGACCTCCCGAAGGACATTAATCCCGACTTTTCGCTAGAAACGAAGAACGGCTTTCCCACACTTGTACATAACATCTGTGAGGAAAAAATGCAAGTCATCATGCCTGAAAAGGTGAAATCTGTGAAGCTCTATGGAAATCGCTTCTTGAACTTTACAACAAATTACAAATATTGATAGAATTGAAGGTATTCTAACCAAGGTATACATAAAAATTTTCTTCATAAATTCATATACATGTATGACAAGGCCGTCGCCATTCTCAGCAAATATTAAGTAGATTCTCAGCAAATATTCAGTGTTAAGCAAAACGACGCTCCAGTAAAAGCAATTATAACGGGTCTTCCAGCAGACACCATTCAGCCAGATATTAAGGAAGAGCTCAATTCTCTGAGCTTGCCCGTTTCGAAAGTGAAGCAGTTCACAAGAAAAAGAGATAGCTCTCTGATTAAGTTACCGATTTTCTTCGTAAACGTGCCTCGAACCGAAGATGGACTTACAACTTGATTGAAATCCTACCTGCATTGTAAGTCAAAGTAAGAAAATGTAAATCAGAAAAGCTCCCCAGAATTTGTTTTAAGTGTCTTAAGTGCGGTTTATCGCACTAAAACATATTCTTGTACTTTGCAAAAAGATGGAAAAGCAACTTCTTTTAGATGTCAAGAGGGGCCTCCCTTGCAGCTGCAGGAAATGCCCAATGCATTCAAACAGCTGGAGCCTTGAAAGAAAACTTTCAGGAAGAAGGATGAAATTTACACTGAATTCAGATTCCCTACCTAACCCTAGCAGCTCTGATGTAAATAAAGAAGAAATATTGCAGTAAAGTAAAGACAATATGCTTGCCTTGAATGAAGACTCAAAGCTCAGAGATTTTCTTATGAAACTAAAAGAGCTTAGAATTAGGAGATCAAAAATGCCAAATTTCCTTGGCAAAAATTAAATTTGGTCTTGACATAACCGAATTATAAGTATAATTATTAATATAGTAGAAGGAATTACTCCAGATTGCTATTCTTCCATATGACTTAACAGCCTAAAGATATCTGTGTTTTGAGAGAATAGTCTTTCTATTTTGCCTACTGATGTTTTCTTCCTAAAGGAGGAGACGTCTTAATTTTTCTGCACGTCATGCGCCCATACATTATTATTTCATTTAGCTTCTTAAGGCTTAATCTAGTCACATAAGCACGAACCATTTGATTAACCGATTATCAATCTTTCTAAGCGCACAAAATAATGCTCTAAAACTAGCATATCAACAAAATATAAAATACTCTTTCTTATAAGGTCCCATGATGTTCTCGCATTATATATTACGTGTAGTGTACTATTTGCTACTGAAAATAACAATAATTATTATTCGTTAAATCTTTATTTTAGATTTATAACAATTAAGCTTTGGTTTACTCATAATAAGAGTAATAAGTTGTTTATTTTAAATTAATATAACAAAAGGATACAGTTCTACTATTTTTAAAAGTGATAAAAAAACGCAGTCTCTTATAATTGTATTTCATACAACTTCAATATTTGCAAACTTTTAAGCTCTGACATTAATAAGAATAAGAAAAACATTTTAAAATCTAAATTTATATCAAACTATTCGTCCTGTCCAAACTCTGAAGTTTCTTTGGGCCTCTATAAGAAGAATATTTTGGATGCTTACTTTAATAGCACGGTCTTTATATAAATAGAATCATAACTCTCTTATTAAAGCCCTTTACTGTTTTTGTGACCCTGTATCATATTATATACAAAATGCTGTCATAGGAATAAATTAAAAATATACCCTGTATTTTTAAAACAGATTACAGGTTTTTTCCTATAAAAACTAATGACAAAAATATATTTCAAACTACAAAATTTCTCAAAACAAAGTAGAGAACCTGAGATCAGTTTCAAGACAGTGATTAAAGTCAAGTGTTTCATATGGTGCTCGTGGTTCAAAAATTTCAATATCAGTAAAATATTCATTATAATTTAATAAATTTAAAAAAATGATACCATCATATGTAAAACTCGCGGCGATATTTGAGAACATATTTATTGATTTAAATTTATTTTGAGTATATATTTCAGACTAAATGTATTTCTTAAAATTCGATGGTCAATTACAAAATAACAGCTGCTAAAATAAGAAAAACATTTTAA